CATAAAACAAACAAGAAAACGATAATTCCTTAGTTTTTCGGTCATTCGTCAAAAACGGTAAGAGACCCCACAACTAAAAATTTTCACAATGTAAACCCTTTGCTCATTTCATTTATACGGCTCAAACTGTATTCAAATGTTATACAATATGAGGTAACCTTACTCAACCTTTATACCAAACGTGTATGCAACATTTTCCCCATTATCCAATTATCACAACACAGCTTAATCTAGAAGCCGGGTTAAATATTGTTTACTTTTTTTTTGATGGAGGAATTTATTGATTTTATTTAGCTGCGATCAAATTTTACTCGAAATTAGTTATAATAAGCACACCGCATCGGTGTACCCCCATGTTTGGCTTTTTTTTGTCGCTTGGTTCGAGATCAAGAGCACCTTGTGTTCACGATTCCCTACCCTGCCATCCATTTGTTACAATTTGTTACCCCTAACCTCGAGATAGCCGCGAGTAATCGGTCCCCGCTTTACTAACGTTAGTTTTAAGTAATTTTGTAATCTAATCAATGAATATTGGCTCCGCAAAGCTACAGCAAACGAGCCTGGAAAAATAAACGCATTATAAAAAAAAGCACACCACCAAATTTTTACCTTGCACCGGAACCTGAACTCGAACTCAAGACGACCGCATTGGCAAACCTTGACACTACCGACTTAGCTTCGCCAACACTTTGAACTGATGTAAAAACATCTACATGAACATCTACAACAAGTTGCCGGTGCCGGTGGTGTAGTGGTAAGCGTGACTGCTTTCTCACCCCAATGGGTCTGGGTTCAATCCCAGCCGAGGTCGGTGGGATTTTTCTGAGGCATAAAAATCTCTGGTCACATCTTCCTTCGAAAGGGAAGTAAAGCCGTTGGTCCCGGCCCATGTGTGTGCGATATCCTACGCAGGTGTGGAAGCTGCCTTCCTGCACATTCGATTGCCGTCAATGGATGGCAATCGATGTCCGTCGGTGATTGGCACTAGATTGCGGAACAGAGACCGACGTTAAATAAAGGAAAAAAAAAACTACAACAAGATCACTGAGAAGAGGCTTTCTAATAGCACACATAAATCACTTTTCTTGACTAGTTAGTTCAGCTTTGTGAAGGAGCGGAGTAAAAGCTGTAAAACTGCACAAGTCTAAAATTAAACCCAGATGACTGTAAAAATGCTTCCAAAGTAGCGCAAACACAGTTTATTAGCTGAGTTTAGTTGTTGAAAAAGCACTTTTGATGTTTATATTATTTAGCAAGCATGGTTGGTCATGTAGAAGCCATTAAATGAGTAATATATTCACTGTATCAGCTTTATTTTGCAGCTACAAGTGCATAGAAGTGACATTAGCGTTGATTGGCTGCTGTTATTCAGTAAGACTGACAAATTGAATAATGGTTGTGGAAAAGTTGAGTAAACGTTCTCCAAAACTAATTTGCTAGCTTCTGCTGGTAGGTGTATCAGCAGCTTTTTTCAGCTACTTTACAGCACAATGCTGGAAAATATGGCTTATGAAGCTGAAAATGATAGCTGGGACATCACTCTGAAATATTCACCAGTGAAGGATAAGAATTTTTAAGCACGCCCGCATAAACGCGAAACATAGCTTGACCTTACCGAAAATGGTTAAAAATTGTTTATAATCCCTGCTAAACTTTAACTGAAATGGTTATAGAACTTTACATGAACGTTCGTGTGATAAGGTTGTATCCTTTTGTATTATGGGTTTTTGGATGTGAACCTTACAAATAATGGGTCGTTAAGAACCATTACCATTCAAAATTACAATTTCGGAAAAAGAACTATATTGGAACCTTTTTCCTTGTGGTTTGAGAACTTTAATGGAAATGGTTGTGGCAGTTAGTAAGGATGGTTTTGTACTATCGGTCAACTTTGCTTGGAATATATCGCGAATCGGTAATCATTAATTTACAGGCAACAAATTCGCGATATTTTCCACATACAGTTAATAGATGTTACAAAACCATCCATGGACCTTACTGACTAAATATCATAATTATTTCCGTTAAAGTAATAAAATCATCAATAAAATGATTCTAATATAATTCCTTTTTCAAAAATGTATGGAGAAAACAATAATTTGGAATGTTAATGGTTCTTAACAACCCATTATTTGTAAGGGTCACTTCCGAAAAACCATAATACATAAGGTTTTTCGTGGCAATAAGTTTCAGTTTATATTTTTTATGGATTTCTGAGATAATTCCCTAATCATTTTACTACACTATGATCTTAAAACGATGAGTTATGAATTTTCAAAGTACTTAATGTACGGGAAAATCCAATAAACTTCAACTATGTTTTTCCGAGAAAATTAACCATTCCGAATCTTTTTAAATATTGTTTCGTACAAATAACCATAAACTCTAACTGTGGGCAAAATTTCAAAAAAAAAAATCTGGAACACTTCGGGCCATTGCACAGTGGGCAACAATTGTCAAAACCGCGACTAAATTGAATATCTGGGCTGCCAAACGGTTTCAGTTAACATGTTATACATATTCTCAAAGAAAAATCTCTGCTGAATCGATTGGCTGGGATGTAAATCAGGAGCAACGCTTTTGATAGAATCTAAACGGATATTTTTTATCATTCGATACAATGCACACTGTGGGCAAAAATTTACAAAACCGCGGCTAAATTGAATATCTCGGCTCATGTTATACATATTCTCAAATGAAAAATTGTGCTGAATTGATTGGTGGCGGTCTCATTGGCTGGAGACTTTTGCGTACCGAGATAGAGGGCCGAAATCAACCCGAGTTCCCGGTAAAGTAGAAAATGCCACTATCTATCGACATAATTTTACAGTTTACTTAACGTAAAGGGTGTTCAAAAAAAAAAAAATGAGAATGATTTCAGTGCCGTCCAGTGCTCTTGTAAGAGCATCGCGACTAAGTTGCGTCGTACGGCTGACCAGGGCACCTTCTCTAATATTCATTGACGTTTTTTTGAAGAATAAACATTATGTTTTTAATAAAAAATACTGTTAGGGTGTTGAACACAGATAAGGCTGGTGAGCTGAATGTTTGTCCACCCTCATTCCAGATAGATGGCAACAGTTGCACATTCGTGCAATTTTCAATAGAGACATTTTTAAAGATCATAAAGTCTTAATTTCAACAGATGCGTAGAAATATATCTGATCGGTTGGAGATAACATTCTTGAAATTGATCCAGGGGCAGCTGAGTTATTAACGTTCATAATCTTTCATAATTTTGTTACATGTTCCATTTTCGGTTTTCACAAAGTGTACCCCCATATAGAAATCACAGACGTAGTCCTACGTCAAAAATTTTTTTTACTGGCTTTATGACTGAAAAAATTCTCATTTTTTATTGAACACACGTTATATTGCTGGAAATTGATAGTACTAAGTATATATTGTGTAAAGATACCATATACGCCCTCAGGAAAACTCTACTGGCCTAAAGGAGGATCCGGAACGACCGATAAAGTAGCCAATTTACAGTAATATACGTTAAGTAAAGTGTAAAATTATGTCGATAGACAGTGGCATTTACCGAGAACTCGGGTTGATCCCGGCCCTCTATCACGGTACGCAAAAGTCTCCAGCCAATGAGACCGCCACCAATCAATTCAGCACAATTTTTCATTTGAGAATATGTATAACATGAGCCAAGATATTCAATTTAGCCGCGGTTTTGTAAATTTTTGCCCACAGTGTGCATTGTATCGAATGATAAAAAATATCCGTTTAGATTCTATCAAAAGCGTTGCTCCTGATTTACATCCCAGCTTTGGGTGTTTCGAAAGTCACTCATTCTCGCGAGTTCTCCTGTACGTATTCCCATCGCTCGGACGAGCATCGAAAGCATAGTTCGCCTTGCCGTTTCCTTAAAATTATTTTCGAACTATGAGTGCGATCATCAAGGTGTCTGTAAATCTGAGGTGATATTATACCCGTATTATGTACTCAGTTTTACAAGGGAATACATTGTAAATTAACACGTTCTGAAATGGACAAAACACGTGGAATTCCTATAAAACTGCTTGCATTCAAAATGCTAATTTAAAAATAGTTTTTTTTCTTTGGTTTGTTTTTTCCGTCGATCTTGTTTTCCGTGCTGAGCACCAATGCTACCGACGTGCCAGGAAGGCAGCTCCCACACCTGGACCCTACCTATCGACCCATCATTTTAAAAATGGCTGTTTGTTATGATTTTGAAATTCAGATCACCCCACCACCATCAGGACATCCTGATGATAATGATGGCAAAATGCACTGGCTGTGTGTGACTTGACAGTGAGAGTATTATCTCGCTCTTGGCTCTCTGGACTTCTCTTCCTGCTCTGCACCATCTGCGAGAGAGTGAGTGCAGTGAATGTTTCATTTTCCCAAACGTTCCCTAATGTTGCATACCTGTGTCATAGCATAGGCAAAACATTGCAGCCGACGACGACAACAGCATACGCCGCATCCCATTTTCTCTCTTGGTCGAGAGCGATTCAACACCCTCTCGACAGCACAGCAGCATAGTAGAGCATAGCTGTGCACAGCAATTTTCGCTCAGGTCGCGCGCCGCGACGGTGGCCGTTTGTTTCCTTTCGAGGTTCAGAGCACATCAGAGGGTCATCGCCGTCGTCGTCGTCGTTGTCGCTTGTTAGTTGGGATTTGGGAATGAAAGCAGGGAACAACATAAAAACTATGTATATGTGGGATCGAGAAGCAAAACCGGTTTGTCTGCTGAGGAGAGTGCCTGCAAGGTGAGAGTGCCTGAGAGCATGCCGAGGATTTTCAGAGAACGGGAGAGTTTCAGGTTTTTGGCGCTCGTGCTGAGTGTCTGATAGGGATTTTTGCAGCAGCAGGTCGGTGTTTTGAAAGGCTCTGCTCTGGCTCTAGTGCAGCAAATGGAACGACGTCGACGTCGGTCGATGGACGACGACGACGAGCGAGCCACCAGTTTCGAGTTTGGACAAGTCTAGCTCAGTTTACGTTAGCTCTTCGTTCGTGGAAGATGAACTTGGTTGGTTGGTCCTCGCGCGCGCGTTAACGACCTGAACACAGAACAATCAAACCACTCCGGCGGTGGAGCAAGAAAGAAGGTGTTGTGTTGTGTTCTTTTTGTGCTTTTCTTGCTCGGATTTTCGAAACTCTCAGTCAGTCAGTCAGTCGAGTCAGTGATTGTAGTGGTGGTGCTGGATTCGGTCCCGTCGTCATCATACACGCAGCAGCCACCGAGAAGAAGAGGCTCGCAGCATCCAAGCTCCGGAGCTTGAAGATAATTTCCAGTTTTTATTCGTCCGGTCCGGCCTGTTGTTATTGTTATTGTACCAATCCAATCAACACACGCCGTTCGGGCTCTGGTATTTGTGCGTTCCTGTGGGCTCCGGCTTGTGTACGCTCTTTGCAGAAGAATAGTGCATGGATTCTTGCTTTGGCGGTGGCTGGTGGGCTCGAAAATAGTTTACGTGATGATGATGAAGAACAACGTTCAGCAAGCGTAGTATTGCTGAGAGAGAAAGAGCGGCGGTCCCGAGATTTGACCAATAATTTACAGTTATATAGTTGAAGGAACAACCTCGTCGAAGAAATTGGATTAACCTTCGCTCGGGCACATACACACAGCTCTCACGGCGGCGGTGGGCCGTGCACACAGTGTGAGAATGAGCCGCAGAAGGGAATGAAAAAGATCGATTCCAAGTTTTTGTCGTGTTTCACATCCAGGGCCAGGAGGGTGAAACCAGGAAAACAAGTTCGCCGCTCCACATAATAACTGAGTTGTAGCGAGCACCGGGGAAGGAAGTAGTGTTCTTTGTTTTTGTTTTGACGATTCGCGTCAGGTTCAAGAAGAGGTCGCGCCCGCAAAGATACAAAACAAACGTCACACGGTGACAGAGAGATCGAGAGATCGCAGACGAGTTATCGAGGGGAGGACGGCGAGCAGCAGCAGGCATCAAAGCTGTGTTTGTGGCGAGAGGTGAAATGTGAAAGGCGAAAATGTCAAGTGTGCCAAGGCAAAAGTGAAAAGAGAAGATCCCGTGAAGCATATTACTCGTTCTTTCGTATTTTTGCATGCTCGTTCCGAATCTCAGTCTTATCAAGAATTCCCTTTGAAAGGCGGCAGCATCCAGAGTTGTATGCTGGTTTTTTTTTGGAAGAGAAGAAAGGAGCGAGATTTGTTTTCTTTTTCATTCACGTATGTGTGTTTGTATTTTCGTTTCGTTTGATTTATAAATCCCCCCAATTTCGTTTCGTTTTCGTTTTCGGAACCACAGTGAACCGAGAAGCGCCCGGCACTATATAAATAAAAATAAAAAAAATAAAGAGGAAAAATATAATCTTTACGGCAAGAGTAAATCGAAGTGATTTCTTTTCAAAAGAGCTCTGTTTGTCCCGTTTTTTGTTTTGTTTCGCTTGCAAAGTTTGTCATTCGCGAGGGGCAAGAAGAAGCGAAATCGAATGTAATTTTCAAAGTGATTAAGGATTATACCCGGAGAAAAGGTATACAGTGAAGAAGAAGAAGAATCTGAAGAAGGAAGCGTCGTTCCCCTTAAAAAAGGTGTGGTGCCCAGGTGAGGCAGAGGAAGGTGTACGCGTGAAAGTATAAATCGATTTTCTGTTTGTGTATTTACTTGAAATTTCCGGAACGAAGAAACTGCATTCTTTTCCCCAACGGCCGGCGAGAGCAGCGAAGCAGAAGGACAATTTCAACGACGACGTTGACAACGAGCCGGAGACGCAGCAGTCGAAGAGCATTAAAGTAAGGATTATTGCTTTTTTGTTTATTTCGAATGTGATTTTAATGGGATTAAATTCGAGGGATTATCGCTTGTTTAGATGGGATCAATTATTGATGGCAGCAGACTCTCACGGGGCACATGGGCGGCTATTAACGATAACCGCAGCAGCAGTGCGATAGGGTTTTGTGCGTGTTTGGCGAGTGATTAATGATCTCCGGGTTGTTTTTTTTTTCTTCTTGTGGTGGGAAGAAATGGAAAAAGGATTCCGTTTCATTTCACAAGGGAATTGGATCGGTTTCTCTTCCCGGTCGTTGTTGTCCGTTTGTTTTACCGGGATGGTGACAGGAGGAAGATGCCGGGGAATGGAAAATCCCAAAAGTGTTTGTTTACAGTTGAATAATGTTTAAACCTATCAGGCATTCGGGGCACGGTGTTTATACATTTCGGGTGCAGACTGTATTTGTTGGTTTTCGACCAGACAGAAAATAATTTAACTTGAATGAGTTGTTTGGAGCCCTGCAATGAAGTGATTAAGGCACTGTGATTTTCAGCCGTTAACAGTTTGTCTTTTTTATCACGTTGATATTGTACCGACAGCCTCAACTTTCCTTTTTTACAGATTAATTTTTATAAGATTGTCGGCTGTCAAATTTGATAGGTTATTATTGTCATTCACTCGAACTGGTCAATCTCAAACATTTTGATAGTGTTTTTAATTAAAGGCCTCTTGGTCAGTGCTGTCATGGAAAATTTATAGCTGCATATACTATTTTTTCTTATGGTCGTCCCCCAACTACCTCAACTACCTCAGGAGCGCAAATAATATTAATAAAATAATATACAACTACATGTACACATAATTCAGATCAATGATGTCAATAAGGGGATTGACACTGAGATATGGATTAATTTTTTCAACAATCAGCTCGCCATAAACTTAAAAGTACTAACTAAAATGCAATTAATTTTTGCTGTGGGCTATCAATATCTGAGACGTAAAATACATTCACCAACTATATAGAGTTGGTAGGTATTGATAAGCCAAACCCCTTACCATTGATCTATCCCGCCATGCTCGTTTCATTGTCTTAGTATTTAAATAAGAAACGGCAAAGAGACACCTTCGGAGAAATGGCTACATTTTTTTCATCCAAAATTCTGAAGTTACACGACAAATCACATGAGAATTCCGAAATAAGATGGTTGGTGGACTTATTGAACACAAAGGTCCCAAGAGAGATTCTGTAGAATATTAAGATTAATTGCTAAAATTCTTGACTGAAGCTCTCGAAACTTTCCATATCTTCTCAGACCTCCTTTGGCGTTTCCCCAATTTTCCAGATGTTCGTAAAGCAGCTTAATTTTCCTAAACTTCATAAACACAAAGATCTCTAAACTTTCTTAAAATTCTCTAGCGTCTTATACAGGGAAGTTATTGAAGCTCATTGGACTTCCCTGAAGTTTTCAGTATTTCTTAAAAGTTAATGGGACTGCCGTGATGTTCTTCTTTTATGTTCATGAGTCCCTACATTTTTGTGAATTTTTAGGAACATCTTGAAATATTTGGAACTTTCCCGAAAATATCAAAACTTCTTAACAGATCTTAAGATCTTTAAACTGAATTGTTCTGAGGTTCTTTAATCTTCCCTGATTTTCTCGGAATGTATCTGTAGTTTTTACAATTCTCCTGGAGTATATGTATGATACTGCTGAAGTTCTCTAAACACTGCAGGTCTGGTAGCAGGTATTTTTTTTTAGTGACTATTTCGAAGTCAGTCTCTAAAGTATTTTTTTTTTTAATTTTTTCAAGACCGTGAATTTTGTGAAGTCCAGGGTGGCAAATGAACCAGGAAAACCAGAAAAATTGGGAAAAAGTCGGGAATTTATTTTCATCAGGAAAAACCGGGAAAAACCAGGAATTTCATAAGTCCACCTGGAAAATAATCTTGTTTGTATAATTTAAAAAGGTTTTAAATTTTATGTATGCCAAAGTTTATTTTTATAATCAGGTCAAAACTAATCATTTTGTTCAAGCTAAATCTTTCACACAACTAAAAATTGATGAACAAAATCTACCCTGAGAATTTAGTAAATATATTTTGTATTTATTTTTAATTTAATTTTTTCTCGAATCAATTGCATGCATGATTTGTGCTTAATTGATAGCAGACTTAAGCAGTGCCGACGCGTAACTACTTTGAAGTACCTGTTCAACATGTTCCATAAAAAAGTTCTATTTCTAAAAACTTCACATAAGGCCTTCGAACTTCATGCAAGCTCTACAAAATTCGGAAAAGTCTTAAGTTTCAGGAAAATCCTGTGAACTACTGTGATGATCTACGACAGTCAGGAAATCTATCTGAACCTTCAGAGAAGTTCTACAAATTTCAGAGAAGTCTTACGAACTTCAGGGAAGTCCTTTAATCTTCAATGAATAACTACGAATTTTACAGAATTTTCTACAGATTTAATGTAACTTCTACGACATTTAGGCATTGCTTAAAACTTAAAGATAATCGTGTCATAGCATTATGGATTTTTCCGAGCTTCAGAAAAGTCTTCAATACTCTTGGGAAGTCCTCTGAACTTAACATAGTTCTCCAAACTCAAAAAAAATCCTAGAACTTCCGAGAAGTCGATTGAACTACAGGAAGTCCTACGAATTTCAGGGGAGCTCTCCAAACTTCAGGGAATTTCCAAGAAATTAAGGCTAGACCCACAAACCTTTGGAAAACCCTTCGATATTTAAAGTTGTATGAACTTCAGGGAAGCTCTTCTAAATTTAGGGTCCTCATATATTCAGTTAAGCCTCAAGGAAGTCCTCAGATCTGCGAGAAAGTTCTTCGTACTTGAAGGAAGTCTTACGAACTTCGTGGTACTTCTACGATATTTAAGAAATTCCTATGAATTTCAAAAAACTCCTCACTTCAGGGAAGTCCTAAGATTTAAAAAAAAGTCCTTCGAACTTCGGGGAAGTCCCATGAAATTCAGGCAGTACAAACTTCAATGAACCCTTCAGGAAAGACCTTAACGCTTCAGGGAAGTTCTACGAACTTTAGGGAGTTTCTATGAACTTCAGCAGTGTGTCTTTTTAATAATAAGAGTTATTAAACCAGCGTTGTTTATGAAATCTTTTAATCATATGATTTTGAAATCATGTTGTAATCAAAATTCCGCTAAATAAGATGATCCTTTTGATTACGATGATTACGATTGACACTGAAACATTTGCGATAACCCGTAAAATTAGCGATTTTAGGGGTTTATGACGAAGAAAAGCTGAGATACGATGGACTAGCGCGGAGCCCTATCAAATGTCTGAAATTTAGAGATAAGCCCCTAAATATTGAGATTTATGGATTTCCAGATTATTTAAATTTTCCGCAAATTGTCAACGATTAGTTTTGCCATTGTTTTGCCACATTTCTTCAATTTGCGCTAGATTGTTGTTTATTAATTTATTTGATAAGGCTCAACCGAATTAACTTTACAGAGCCGAGGATTCTTGGTCACTATACAATACATCTTAAAACTATAGTCAAAAGGTACAACACAATAAACACTTTATCTTCCGCTATCCAATAAGCCTGCTCCATCAGAACTGGAGCCGCTTCCAGTAGTTTCATTGTATGGCAAATTTTTGTACGCCAACGAGGGTCAGAGCGCGTCCATTGCAGCAATGGACGCAAAACGTGGTCAGCACTCACACACTCATCACGAAACGGTTGCTTTCCAAAGTCGACGACGCATCGACCGAAAGAACTGCTGATGAAGAACAATGAGGAGGACCACACAATGGTTGCTGCCGAGAAAACAGACGATCGAGTAGCACACATCGAGAGTGGCCTGCTTTTGTCGACAGCCGAGTGAACACTGATTTGCGCTAGATAATTGCCCAAAATTTTTCAATGTTACGAAAATCTGGACAATTTGGTGGATTGATACTTTTCTCAATAAAATCGACATTTTTTCTGCTTATACCATTCTATGGCATCACGGCTGTAATGGCAGCTGGCTAAGTTAGGCCAGAACTTTACGGGACCTTCGTGTGATTGAATGAACGGCAAACTTGTGTACTGGAGTCACTCCTCTTTGTAAAGTTGTCCATTCATAGTCGCTCCAGTGATGAAAACCTTTGTTTTCTTTCCGCAACTGCATATGCCTTGCCAAATCATCAACTTGCGAGCGAATTGATCTGCAAATACAAATTTGAATTTATCCGGAGCATCCCCCTTACGTTTAGCAAAGTAACATTTTTGGCCCGGGATTTGTCCAAAGTCCATTTTTACGTAAGTTTCATCGTCCATCGTCCATGTGAGTGTGCAGAATTTGGTCACGTCTGTCACGTTCCATCTTCTATAACTTTTGAACAAGTATAGGAATCCTGATGAAATTTTCGGATCAAAACGCTGTAAATAGGTTCTTGCTACAACAACTAGAGGCGCTACAGTAATTAAAAAGAAGCGGCCAAATACTAACTGGAACAGACTTGAGTTGCTCCTCCGTGATTGATCAGAACTAATGCACTTGCACAGAGAACCACGTAGATGGTGCATTGGATTAGCTTTCCATCTTCAATGTACAATCACACTAATTCAAATATTTATGTATCAATCACAGCGCCGGCCACGTCCTTACGGTCTTTTGGGGGAGGAAAGGATGATTAGTTCGACGTCCGTTGTTACTAGAGACCGAATACATCTCTGCACGGCTTTCACGGGGAAGATAGTTGTGTTAGTGAGGTGGGTTATGTTTAGATCAGGATGCAAAACTGTGATAAGTGATGCGATCGGTTGGTTAAAGCAGAATTCGACCTTCTGCTTAGTAAGCAGAAACGGTAACCACTGAGCTATCAAGCCTCGCATTTCGAAGTCAGTCACTAAAAATATTCACTTTTTCACAACCAAAATAGAGTGTACTGGGAAAATATCAACATTTTTAAATTGAGTACATGGCACTAACGAAGTCTACAGTAGTTATGACAAAATAAGCATAGCTGTTGAAAAATTAACAACCCGCA